GAACTTGGTTAAAATTTACTGCAAACTTTTCCTCTAAATTTTTTTGCTATCAAAGATGGATATGCTATAATTTATAAAAAAGATTTATTTTTAGCCTATTAGAAATACTTAAAAGTTAACGCTTAGAATCATTTGAGAATTTTGTAGAACTAAGTTTAACCAAGATATCATTTCCTAATAAAGAAATCGAAATTTAATTAAATTTAAGAAACCAAAAGAAATCCAAAATGATGATTTATTTACTCCAGCAGTGGATATGCTATAATTTATAAAAAAAAAAAAAAATTCACAATAAATATTTAATTCTCTGCAATATTTTTATTTAGTAGTAAATTTCATTTTATCTCTCTCTCAAAATTTCACCTTTTATTTATCGAAATATCAAAATTATAAAAAAAAAAAAACGAAAATTTTACAGGTATTGAAGCGTATGTATTCTTACCTCACGTGATGCTTAACGCATTCTACGACGCTTCCACGTTTTTTAGCACGTACAAAGGAAAATTAAAAGCTGATGTGCAAAATTTAAGTGTCACAATAGAAGTACATATTAGCCGAAATGAAAGCGAAAAATTGAATATTATTGAGGTTAACTGTTTATTTTTATTTTTTACTAAATTATAGTATAATTCTGGATAGCATTGACTACTTTAAGGAGTTAATTCATCGTGGAACTTATTTAATATATCATGAATTAATTTAATTCAAGCTATCTTGAATTAATTTAATTTAAGCTAGTCAGAAATATCAATCAATCTTTTATCTTTTAATAATTTTGTCATATTAGCTATTATTTGATATTAATCGACAAGTACATCTTATATTTATTAAAATTTTCATTCGATTTGTGACGCTTTTTTGTCCTTTCTTACTTTTTACTTACTAATTATACTTTTTCTTCTTTCTAGACTCCAGTATGCAATGTCACATCTGATCTTGTAAGAATCGTTTTTGCAGGTGACATGTCAACCTATTTAAACTTATTGAGGTATGCAATTTACAGTTAGCTTCTTTGTAGTTAGCTAATTTTTTTAATTATTTAATAGCAATTTTACGATTAATTTTATTCTGGAAAAAAAAAAGCACTAGAAGTATATCTGAGTTAATAATTATTGACTTTGCTCAAATATTATCATTTATTTATAGGTCAGTAATTGAGCAAGCAGTCACTGATGTTCTCGGGAATGAACTTTGTCAACTTGCCATCAAAATAGGACAATTCTTCGAGCAACAAAAGCAACAGGTTATTTTTATTGCATTTTGGTGCATTCTTTTTTTTTCTTCTAAATATAGTTTATATAGTTAGTTATACAATTTCTTTAAGATACTGATGACTACGCCAATCCCACAGTCAACGTCATCTACGCCAACGCCCACACACTTATTATACTTCGGTGAATCACGTCAACTAATGGATATGAAATCAATACAAAGTGCTGAAAATGAAAATGCCTTTTATGAAACGTCTAATGAAAAGGTACTAATCATCTAATCATAAATGCTAGCATTATTTTTACAAAATTTCCAATTTTCAGCCAAAATTTCTATCAATTATTGCAATCATTCAAGATTTTATATATTTATTTAACAATTATATATTATATTTGAGATTTAAATAGTTTTGAAAAATGAATTTTTAAATTGTTAATAGTATCAGTTTAGCAGTTAAAACAGGTATCGTTTATGATGGTACTGTAATTGGAACAAAATCAAAAATCAATCGTCGCTTGCATCTTTGTAGATGGAAAATGACGAAGATTTGGCAGCAAAATTTGCAGCTGATTTATGTGCTGATGATCGATTAGATGATATGAATGTACTGAAATATTCCGGTGATATGATTTACTTACGGAATAAACGTAACCTGTATTTTGGAACAACACCTGAAAGTGAACGTTTTAATCCATTATTGAAAGATGGTCTTTGGGCACCTGATTTGACATTGATGTATTCACCAAAGTTCTCAAATGAGGTAAAGCATTCTTAATTTTTTTTTTTTTTAAACATTTTTTATTCGTTCTTTTAATGCAACTATCATCTTTCCGGTTTTTTCGAAATACGGAAACTATTGAATGGCATGAAATATTAGCAATAAATAATGCTAAGAACACAATATCAGACAGTTAAAAAATTAAGACAATATGCTAATATATATGAATTTATGTTTATGACAGGATGTAATATTTGGGCTCGATGCAGGTATCATATTTTTTGGCCAAAGGGCAAAGAATGTTGCTCGGCCAAATATGCTCAATATATCAGCATTTGGTGATAAAGTTTGTTAATTGTACATTTATCGAAATATGAATTGAAATTTTATCACAATTAATTAGAAAACATGAAGGACATTTGTGATTTGTGAATAAATCTTTTCATCTATCACAATCTGATCAGTAAATTAAACTTCCGGTTCTGATGATATTTTCGGTTTTCACTACTATATGATCTCTTGATCATATTTTTTTTTTTTTTTTTTAGATGTTTGGTGTGATTATCAGTGAATACGTACCAAACACGTTTTTTGCACATATTTACGACGAAGATATGGGAGTGTTACGTGAAAAATTTCGTACTCATAACTTACCAAAATTCATAAAACCAATAGCTAAGTTATTGTGTGCTCGTTGTGAACTTCAATTTATTGCTAATCTGACGAGGTGAGATAATTTTTCATTTTGAAATTAATTATTTTAAAGATTAAATAATAATGATCAGTTTTTACTGATTAATTCTTGATTTTTTTCCAATAGTAACAATATTTATGGTCTTTCATTTAATTAATGAAATGAAATTTAAAAAAATTTTAATTTCATAATAGCACGAATATGACAAATTCACAAGCTATTCCAGGCGACCACATCTTGTTATCAGTGAACAAGGTGTTAAAATTGATATTCAAATTGATTTGCTAATTTTATTTGTTGGCAAATCACGAAGACATAATATTGTTGATGCAAATGCAGAACTTGATGTGACAGTAAGTTAATCTATTTTAAAATTTAAATTAGAAAGTATTTGATTTGAAAAGAATTCTTGATATAAGTAAAATATGCAAAAGTGCTACAATTTTCGATATTTTTATGAGAAATAATCCCAATTTACCTATATTTATATCGTAGTGATACTAAATTCAATCAATTTTATGGGTCAGGTTGATTTTATAGGTCATTCTATCAGTAATAATTACTTATTTGAGTCAAAGCATCCATCGTTTGACAGAGTACAAACTTGACTTAATCTTTAATTTCTATGTAAGAATAAATTATTTAATAAAATATTAAGGTTCGCCCATATCTTAGACATAGTCGCTTATATGGTGATGTAGCATTAACTGGAGTGGACATTAAGATAAAAGGGGTATGCTCTTTTCTTTTTTTTTTTTTTTTTACAGAAAAATTAATTCAACGATAAATTTCAATTTTTATTTAAATCATTTTTATTTATTTTAAATTGCTATTTTAAATTAATATTGGCAATAACTTATTTTTATATGGGAATTGGTGGAATATTTGCGAATACAATTCGTAAAGCATTGAATAGTGTGGTACCGAAGAAACTTTGGCCAAAAATAAAGAAACGTTTACGTTTTGCATTCAATCAACGAGGTGAAGTGAAAAAATTTTTAAAATTAATTTTAATTTTACATATTTTAAAAGGAATTTTACTATTATTCATTTAAATTTTAGTCATAATTTTATAGCTATTCCAATTTAATTTTAGGCTAATATTTTTTGTTAACAATGTTGATTTTAGGTATTAAGCTACCGGTGATGTGTGGTGTTGAACTGGAAAGACCATCATTAAGTTACATCGATCATGCTATCGTAATTGATACCGATTTCAGGTTATTTGCATTAAAAATTTTCACTTTTAATTTTATTGTCAAAAAATTTTTTCACTAAAGAAAATTTCATATATAAATAAATAAATTATATATTATGTTTACAGATTATCTTATAAAATAATGTTTACATTTGTTTTAGCTATGATTTACCACGATTTATTCGCAAATTTAAAGTGCATATTAATGCTGAAATTGCAAGAGCAAGAAAGAAAGAGCAATTGGAAAGTGAGGAAGACTACTGATCATTTAGAAATGATTTAAAATTGCTTACAAATGATGAATGTATTTAAGTACATTTAAAATAAACATTTGTTACACTTTTCATAATTTATAATTTGAAAAGAAATGATCGAATTTTGTTATTTGATTATTTCATAGAATTTTGTTGAGCAAACATTTTTGTGGATAATTTATTACAAAAATTTATTTTAAGAATTGATAAATTTTATGAAAGAATTAAAATTCTATCTAAAGCTAAAAAAGTATGATCAATTTTTTTTTTTTTATAAAAAAAGATGAAAGAGAGAAAAACATTACTGTTTTAATTGAATTAGTAAAAGGATGTTAAGCTATAGAAAGCCTTTCTTTTTTTTTTTTTTTTTCTAACTTTTGAAATGAATTTTTTACTTTGCAAATTTTGGACAAATTCTTGGACCACAAATTCATACTAGGCCATTTATTTAATACATTAATGAAAACAGAAAAGAGAAGGCAATAGGAAAAAAAAAAAGTAAAAACATATTAATTAATTAATATATGAACGAACAAATTATTTGCTTTATGTATTATTTCACATCAATAATATAACTCTGAAATTAATCTTTAAACAAATGTCATTAGCAAGTGAAATAATCTTTTAATTTCAAAAGATGGTCATTTTGAAAATTTTTTAAAAAATTTTCAAAACTATTGCAAATCATACGAATGTTACACTGCTAAAGAGTATGAAAAAGTGTTGAAAATGTGACAACAATTTTGATAATATCTTTTGACATTAATTTAAATTTTAAAGCTTAAAGCAAAAATAAAGCAAAATATAATAATACAAATTAATTATTAAAAAAAAAAAAAAATTATTTTCATTATGTCAAAAGTCCTAAAACAAGGATAGAGCATTAGTGATATCATATAGCATTTCAGCAGTATATTTTTCAGATCAATCTGCAATATTTGTGCGAAATTTATTTACATTGTACAAGTAATCACTTATAATATTAAAAGTTCAAAAAGTAAAAGTTCAAACTTTATTCTTTACTATCATTTCAATTTAAGACTTTCATAAAAATATAATAGTACTTTTTGCATCATTTGAAATTATAAGTTGATTTTTGTAAAAAAAAAAACTTACACAAAAAGAAAAAAAAAAAAACCCTCTACTATTCAATCTTTTGTAAATTTAATATTTCCTGATAAAGTAATTTAAATAGAAAAAAAAAAAAATAATAACAAAAAAAAAGAAATGCATAAAAGTTACTTCCGACATGTATTCTTGTGCGATAACTATCAATAGGATTTGATTGCGGTGGACCGTATGATGCACGAGATGACATTGGTGTCGTATATGTTTGTGAATATCTACAAATGAATAGTATAACTGTATTAGATTTAAAAAAAGAAAGAAGGAAACTTACATGAATAGAATCTAAAAGAAAAGATTCTAAAAAAAAAAATTTACGTTAACTGAAACTCTCATGAAACAATGATCGATCAGCAAATTTGAGTCCAATCAGCTCTTCACAGAATACAGAAAAGTTTTACTTGTCTCTAAGAAGAAATTGCATTCCAATATCCACAAGGAAAAGAATAGCACATAAGAATAAGAAAGCCTGAAATTATAACAAAAATTTAAGAAAAAAAAGAAAAAAAAAAAGTTAATTTCAATAATAACTAAAAGATATAACACCTGGATAATTCTATAATTTTAATCTACTATACATCTAATTATTATCGCAGTTTGATTACTTTTGCATTTTGAATATTATCAGAGAGAGAAGAAAAAAAAAAAAAAAAAACAATTTAATTTTTGAAAATTATACCTTTAAATTGGAATGGAGTATTTATACATAACAAAACACTTAATTTATTATTTTTGTCAAGAAATTTATGACAAATCAATGTTAATATTATTAATAAATTTCTCCGTAAATTGTCTTAAATTTCATAAATTTAAATTTAAATTTTCGGAAAAAAAAAATTTTTTTTTTTTTTCAAAATAATACAAATAATATTTAATAATAAATTATTGTAAAATTTTTGCAAACCGCAGCAGCTGCCCATCCCTTAACTACGAATAATATATCACAATTTGGTACATTCATACAACCACTGAATTGGCCACCACCAATTTGTCTAATTAATATTCCCATATGACTGTAACCGGTTGCATACCATGTCTCAACACCTCCAAGAGCCAGAAATATCAATATTGATATCATCGAAAAACATACTTGCTACAAAATTAAATTTCACTTTATCCCTATTTAAAAATAAAAAAAAAAAAAAATCCATAGTAATCATAATGATGCTAATTATAAATGACAATAATCTGTCACCATTACTTTATTATAGAGTTGTACACCTGTTTAATAATTTCAAGAGTGAGAGAAGCATCCATAATCATTAATCATCTGATATATGTAAACAAAAATTATGGAAATATTTACATCAATAAATAAACAAAAATTTTTTCGTTGAAAATAGACATAACAAATGTTATACTATACTACAATATATCCAATTTAACTCATAAACAAACTATCATTCTGATGATTTTCCCTAATTAAAATTTTTTCACACTGAAACAGATCAGTTATTTCGAATTGAAATGAAATAATCCAATAAAAATCAAAGTTACTCGTAAGGTTTTTTTAAATGAAAATAAATGCAAACATTTTGTTATCAAAAATACTAGTGATAATCTCAATAATCATTAGTATTATAAAGCTTAGCTAATTGTTTATTGTTCAAACTATCGCTCAAATGTAATTTCTTTTATGTTTGAAATACAATAAAAACGACATTTGCGCGTTTTTGATAGGATAATATTAGGATTTTATTTGTAAAAAAGAAAAACTAACCATGTAAAATAGAGAAATACCGGTAGCAATTTGGAAGCAACTTAATCCAAGCGGTGGTAAAGCAAATAATACTGCAATTATGACAATTGCTAATTGACCCCAAACACTGCAACATTTATTTATTTTGTTCAAAATATTTAAATAAAATTAACAGTAGAGCTGCAAAATGATAGGCTAATCACTGATAAGCTAATCAGACGAATGTATTGAATGATAAGCTTTAAGCATTAAGTTTTAATCATGAAACATTAAGATTGTTTTTCTTTTGAAAATTTCAGATAATTGTCAAAAAAAAAAAAAAAAAAGAAAAACAATGTATAGTTAAAACTAAATGTGCAAAATGATAAAGGAGAAAATATGAGAAAAATCAGAACAAATTTTTTAGTTTAAATAGGAATATTTCATGGATTTTTACAATAAATGGCTTTTTAAAGAAAATTCAATCGTTCATCATCAGTGCATTTCAATTTTGCACAAAATAATAGTTCGAGAATTTCTTCAAATTTAACACTGTTTATCAAGATTGGTTTTGGCTTTTCAAAAAATTAAATACCAATTTTAATTTAAATTTTATTTTTTTTTTTTTTTCATTTATATCCTACTTTTTTTTTAATTGTTAGTTCAATTATTAGATATAGTTGGATAAATTTGAACAAGTAAAAATGATCCCATAAGTTGGTAAATATTAGAAAACAGACTAATCCGGTGCATAGCAAGAGAAATAGTTTTCCGGACATATGGAGCATTCATTGTTCAAAATTTCAAATGTTTGGAAAATTAATTCCCTCAAGCCTATATGTAAAGAAATAAAAATAACGAAATTGAGTATGATAATAGTTCCGTTTCAACCATTGAAAGTTGATAATTTAAAAGCAAATTTAAAGCATTGTCAACACTATCCGGATTATTTTCCGGATATATGCCACATTAGCAATGTCTTCAGCTATCAGTGTTGACACAAATGGATGTTTTGTTTGTAAAATCTTATTTACTAAATGATATTGTTATTGTTTAATTACAGCTGCTAGTAATTAGGAACACTTTCGTTCTGGACATCCATCTTCATGTTTATAAGATTTCCGGAGGAAAATGTTATGATCTTTATGATACGTTCATCGATAAAACCGGATCCAGATAGACTACCATAGTACGACAGCATTTTGTTGAACTGATAATCACATAATTGCATATGATATACAGATAAATTTTTGCTATGTAAATAATACATTAATAAAATTCAGATTATTTTCGCTTCATAAATTTCAATTTCATTCCTTCCTTAAGACAGCTATGCTACAAAAGGTATTTCACTCAGTGATAGCTTCTCGATAAATCAGATCGAGAATCAAGAACAGATCAAGATGGTGAGAAATATAGAATTGTGAATATATGAAAATTTTTTTTTTTTACTTTTGCTAATGAATGTTACGAATTATAATTTAATTTAATTTTAGAGCAAAAAAAAGAAAAGTTTTTTCGAAAAGTTTTTCATTTTAATAAAATTTCACAAATGAATGAGAATTGAAAGAGAATTAATACTTTTGTCCACGATGTTGAAAATGTACACCATTACCCCATCGGTTGATACCCATTGGTAGGAAATTTTCACTCGGGCAAATTTCATCAGTAGCTCGAATATCATTCATATATCGTGTATAGCAAACACCTGGTGCGGTAAAAATTAATACCACCGAGATGAATACAAGTAACTGAAATATATAATGATACATGATAAATTATTAGGAATGATAATAGTGATATGATAAAAGTAGAAATTGATAGTGAAACCGTTTGTTTATTTTACACTTAGATCAAAATGAGTAAATGAAAATTCACTTAAAACAGTAACATTTCTTATAACTATTGTAAAATTTTGTTTCATTAAGATTAAGAGAAATAATTTAAAAAATAAGCAAAACTATTGTAAAATTCTAATAGAATGCATAATATTGTAAAATTTTGTTTCATTAAGAGAAATAATTTGAAAAAAATAAAAAAAATAAAAAAAAGAAATTCGAAGATGACAACAATTTTCTTCCTTTTAAGATTTATGAATTGCTTTTTTCAAATTAAATTACAAAAATATGAATGAATGAATGAATGGAATGTTGTAAGTTTAATTTTAATTATAATTTTAATTATTAATTTCATTTGATTGCATAACTTTTCACTATTCTATCATTTTAAAGTTAAATTAACGAAAAAATTCCATCATAATGGATTTGTTATTATTATTATTATTAGCATTTTTTTTCAGCAAGTTGTATACGATATTTACTGCTATCCATGGAATTGTTTGTTATTCATCACTTTGACGAATAAGAATAGTACTGAATGTAATTTACATTTTTCAAATTCACATATTCCTAATTCTTTCGTTTTCGCCTCTCTAAACCATCCAACAAAATGTTTTGTAGTATTGAACGATTCATTTATACGATTTTATTTTTTTTTTTTTTTATTGCTTAATTGAAAAATGAAAAAGAAAAAAAAAAAAAAAAAAACGAAAAGTTAAGCAAATTTAAATTTAAATTTTTCAAAATTTTCCCAAAAATATATATAGTTTATTTGTATATCTACTATAAATATTACTCGTCTGAGATTTTCTATCATCTCAATTGCTACTTCCTTGTAGCTAAAGAATGCTTTAAAATGATATTTAAAATTTTGACATAAATAGCTTTTTGGCATAGAATAGCATCAAGATCGAGCATTTAACTGCTTAGGAAAAATGAAAAAGTGCAATGATTGGTAAACAAAATAGCTAAAGCATGTAAACAAAGTTTTTTTTTTTTTTTTTTGCAAAATACTATGCAAACTGCAGATGCAGTACACTCATCTTGACGTTATCACATGATGATAAGTTATGATAGCAAAGAAAATTACTAACATTGTCAATAAAGTAAGATTATAATTATAAAACACTTACCAAAATGAATACTCTGATGAAAGCAGAGATGCCAATAAACAACGAATGTGATACCATTATCTTAAAATGGAAATGTTAAATTTATTGCAAACTTTTAATTTCAATTCAAATAATTAATTCACAAAATCGTTAATTAATTATATAACATTTAATAGAAGTAATTGATTTAGCAATCGTTCATGCAATTAAAATTGAAAAATTTATGATAAATTGGAGAGATTTAATGATGAAATATTGCGTATAAACGATGAAAAAAGTTTAAACCACTTGAAATAGATTAAAATTCACAATGAAAGAATTTATTAATACTTTTAGTGCATTTAAAATTGTGTTTAACTTTGAGAGATATGATATTTTAACTATTATTGAAAGATAGATAGGTAGATATTCCTTAAAACATTCTTGAAAAATGATACTATCTGTATGATCAAATCAAATACGAGAGTTTTCTGGAATGAAAATAGACCATAAGTATCATTAGATTAGATTATCAATTCAAAACTTTACTAATGAAGAAGCATACATTATGCATAAATACTTATACATTAGATGATACTCTCGACGAAAGATAGTAGAAATGAAGAAAAAGTCGCAACTCTCGAAGAAAGATAGTAGAAATGAGAAAAAAGTCGCAACTCTCGACGAAAGATAGTAGAAATGAGGAAAAAGTCGCAACTCTCGACGAAAGATAGTAGAAATGAGGAAAAAGTCGCAACTCTCGACGAAAGATAGTAGAAATGAGGAAAAAGTCGCAACTCTCGACGAAAGATAGTAGAAATGAGGAAAAAGTCGCAACTCTCGACGAAAGATAGTAGAAATGAGGAAAAAGCGCAAATGTTACAGAATTAAAAATGATAATCTTTGCAAAAACAAGCCAATGTATAACTAACTACCTTATAAACTTGTTCTGATGCAATGAGTTAACACAACAAAAGCATTTTTGTGCGCATATGCAGGAAAAGAAGGATAGAAGTAGTGGAGGTGTGATGGATGATATTACCGACAGATGAAAATAGGGTGCGTACGTCGACGTCAACAACTAAACTAAAATAGCATTCTGATCAACACAATGTCTAGTGACAGAGAGACACTTTTGAGCCATTTGCTCAACGAGGGACAAAATTAAACATAATAAATAAATAATAGTATATGTTATGATGATTGAGGGATAAAATTGAATGACTGTCAAATATTTTGTACACAAAGGAAATCTCTCTGATTACAATTCTCATCTAACACTTTATCAGTGAATAAAGAATGATAAAATTTGATAAAGAATCAAAAATAATTTCTTTGTCCAAAACTATCCATCCAATCAGTAATGTTTTCGTTGATAGATGTATGAAGTATGAAATTGTTATTCTAAAGTTTTTGTGGTAATATTACTTTTGTTATTTTGAAGATAGATTTAAATTATCATATTATCATAAATTCAAATTATTTTGATAGTATTAATTTAAAGTTAAAAGGTAGCAAAAATAAGCATTCGAATAAAACTGTTATCATATCGAATTATGTTAGATGTAACTAGCAGTGAAATTTAACTTTATCAAAGTAAGTTTAATTTTTGCTTAAATTAACAAAATGTTTTTAGCAATTTTCACATTCACCGAGAAAAGGTCAATAGAAGTAAGCAAATTTGATTGTAGCTAATAACTTTTCAAATCAATAAATCATACTTTATTTATATGTTTTATTACGTTATAATAGGTAATAAAATTTATGTGACATTGTGACATCGTTTCATTTACTATCAGATATAGTTGACATAGCTGTTATATAGTATTTGGAATAAATTAGAAGTAAAACAATACTATATTGATATGATTTTTATGCTTATCATTTCTTTTTTTGAATTATCACAAAATTTCAACCAATTTTTTGAGAAATGAAAGTGAAAAACGAAATGAAAAAAAAATAATTAAGAATATAAAATGAAGATTCTTCTCGATTTCTTTTCAGGATGATAACTCTTCTCTTCCGTTTCATTTTTTTTGTCTTTTTTTTTTTTTTTTTTTGAAATGATATCCACCCAATTCAGAAATCAGTTTTTCGTATCATCAAAAGAAAAGATTACTTTATTTTGTCCTATATTTAATTGAAATATCAAAAAATATTGATAATTAAAGTTACAACAAATTATAAATCTATGCTTAATATGATGACTAACAAAATTTGATGCTATTCTCGACAATGATTGCGAGGAATAATTTGGGAAAAAAAAGAAAAAAAAAAAAAAGCCGCTTCTTCTGCATGAAATTATGATTGCACAGCCGAAAGTCAATAAAAAAAATTGAATCGAATGAAATAGTTAGAAACTATGACTCAACCAATTCACGCCCAAATTGCATTTCATTTCATTTCGTTATCATTTCTATATTTCTTCTAACTTTCACAATTCCTAAAAGTCATTAAGTGTAAGGTTAATTAACTGATTAGTTAATTAAGTGTAAGATTAATTAACTAATTAGTTAATCCTTTATCATTCTAACAGTTCGATCATCCGATTGTTCCAGGTAGAACACGAGAGCAAAGGATAAACATCTATCTGTACAGATAATGAAGAAGTAGATGCATTTCAATCCGGCATTTCAGAATCAAAACCGGATAATGACGAATATATAATTTCAAATGGAAAATATAAGGATTAATTCATCAAATTTGAAATCATTGCATCAATAATTCTATTATCAATACAAGCATTATACCTTTTTTTTTTTGTTTTGTTTTGAAAAGTATAATTTTTTCTACTTTAACTGCTTAATTTTACTCATAGAAAATTTGAAATTTCTGGGTAAGTTTTGTAGTTTTCTGCTAAAATTCCTACAAAAAAATTTTTCAAAAATGAAAACAAAAGAAAAAAAAAAAAATTAAAGAAAAAGTTAAACATTTTTCTTCTTTGAATGATATTATTCAACAACAAAATTACAGTTCCATCCTCTTTTGTAACCGACATTTTTGCCACGATATTAACAACACTTTTATTCAATACATTCAGTATCATTTCTACTTTTTTCTTTTTTTTTTCTACTATTCACTGAATGAAAGGAAAGAAATCATAAGCTTTCTTTGATTTATAATATTTCAATTCAAAGAATTTATAATTTATAATTGATAGAGTAAAATTCTTTGCCAATGAATTTGATTGAGAAGGAAAAAAAAAATTGAAATTGAAAAGAATGACTACTTTTACACCTTTAAAATATTCAAATATTCTTTTATTTCAAAATTTCTCTTATCATTTTTAATAAAATTGAAAATATTTAGGCTACAAATTATCCAATAGTGCAAACGTTGCTAAATTTAATCATCTCTGCTGTATATGTCAGTATGCAAATAGCATCTTCAGCAGTTCACACTTACAAATCGGATAATTTATTCCGGAACAGGAAATCATTTTTCCTTTCCTCATCATTTTAATCTAATATTACAATAAATTAAAATAGAAAAAGAGAAAAATAGAACCAAACTCAACATGAACAATATTTCTAATAGGTTGATAGCCATCAGTGAAAATTAGCAGAAAATTTCGATGTAACATTTGAAGAAACTTTATTTTTAATTCTGAATGCATCTTTCAACAATTCGATGATGTCAAAACGTTAATCAAATGCTTTTTGCTAATAGTTTTAAGGTATTTGTAGCACTCTTCCACTACATTTTTTCCTGAAAAAATTTCAACTACTTAACTAGGTGATATTTTTGAAGGAAAACCATTAAATGACCAACCATGTTTAGTTATACAACTTTATTAAGCAGATTTCATGTACATTGCATCTAATTTTTTTTTTTTTTTATCACATAGCTAGCAAAGAATGATTGTTCATAAGATTATTATTTAATTCTTATTTCTTCGTTAAACATTTCGCTATCGAGTTTTCCATGTGGAACAAGGAAAAGAAAGTTCAGTAGATGAGAATTTGTACAACAATACATCGAATGATGAAACGAAGATTAAAAATTTGAAAGATCACATTATTCATCAAGTGGTAATGAACATTGGTGATTAACCTACTTTCTGGTGCATCATAAAAACCTTCCTTTTTTGCATTTGATTTATAGTGAGAAGATGGATTACCATTTTGGCATCATTGAAACCTCACACATAAATTTCGGTAAAAGCATCTTCAACGGATGAAGATGAGTAAGTTTATAGGAACAAGATTAAATTATACAATTAACAAATTATTTGACTAAATAAGTAGTATCCAAGTTCATAAAGGATTTCCAAGTAATGCTACTTGAATTTAGCCTAAATCAGATTAGCTTTACTGCTATGAAATTCAAGATTTCAACAATAAAACACAGTTTACAATCCTGAAAAATCCTCTAAAGAAACGATAACTATTTCTTCTACTTTACTCAGAAGAATTGAAAAAGCAGAGAATCGACAAGGAACGGATAAGATGGGAAGCTGTAGATTATAATAAATTTTATTTATATTATATTTTATTTAATACATAAACAAATTTCTAGCACAACATACATACCATAAGTAATCATTCGTCTTCAAAAAACATTAACAGCCCAAACGGTAACTCACCCCCGAAATTCTAAGAAAGCTTAAATTTCAGTATCGATAATATGTCGATTAGAAACACACCATATAAGTATTGTAACTACAACAATAATAATAATAGTATAAAACAATAAACAATCACAGAGTTAAAATGGCATGGTTTAAAAAGTAAACAAAATCTATGTAGATTTCCCGAAGCATGCACTAAAAAATTCAATGGCAACAGGAAACGGCAGTGAAAAACCTTGAATTTATGATGGGAAATAAACTAGAACGGAAATAAAAGAGAAAGAAAAAAAAAAAATAAGCAAGGGATAAAATGAGACAAAAAACCAAGCAGCTAGGACAAATTTACTCCAGCTATCCTCTTTTCGTATCATTTGATTTAAGCTTAATGTTTGTTCCACCCCAACGCAATCCAAATATTAGTTGACCCTGATTCTTACGCTGGGTTGCTGTGAAACACAACAAAAAACCATGTCAATCACCGAAACATTGTTTTCGGATTACACATTCGCTACATTTTCTAAATCAAAAATACAATATAAATTAAAAAAACTTGGTTTGAAAAAGATCCAAACAATACTTTCTCAAGAACAAAATAAAAATGTTAACATATCTTGAGATTTATGGAATGAGACTCCACAAATCTATCTTTCATATTCTGCACTAATGGTTTCATCTCAACCAATGTAGTGCACATGCGAATGTTCTACTCCATAATACACGACACAGTGAAATATGGAAAGATATTTCGCATTGCACATTAATTTTACTTCTTAATAACATGATACTAGATACTACAGACAAGATATGAAGAAAAAAAGGTAATTATAGCAATAACTGAATGTCAAGTTAGTTATGAATTGTAGAACGAGATATGAAGGTCTCAATGCATCGAGATCAAAAAGGCGAAAAATAAACTCGAAAATACCAGATCGACTAGAAATCAAAAACTTACATAGGGAGACTTTTTAATTATTCATATGGAAATTATTCAATTACTCCAAAGATGAAAGCATAAGCAGCTGCTTTAGCACCTTAGTTTGCGAAGTTTCACGTATTTCACCTGCCAAAAACATTTCATCCACAACTGTATAAACCTAAAATACAAATCGTTGAACATTTTGAGTTAGCATTTTCTTGGTAAAAATATACATATAAGTAAAAAGTGCTCAACTAAATATGATAACCAAAAAACAAAAAATGAAAACCAAGGTGATAAGAATTTATTAGTTTGACAAATCCGTATTGCAGATGTTCTAAATTTTTTGTACAATGACAGAATGCAACTAGTGCGTCTGTTAAAACAGAAAGCAGGATATGGAACTTCCCATTTTTCAAGAAAATGAACCATAATGTACTGAAAAAAGAAACAACACTGTGCAAAAGAAGTTTTCTTCCTGATTAAGAAGAAATCTCACAAAGTATTTATATATTAACCGAGATTTGGAATCATCTTTTTATTTATGTAATTATTTTTCGAACTCTGAATGTCATCAGAATGAATAAAACCGGAAAAATAGCAACAGCAGAAATGTTTACCTTATAAAAATTGAAGACTAGATCAAGTTCGCAAACGTTGTGAAAATATTCATTTAAAACTTCCACGAAATTATGTATTGCCTCCAAATAATACAAATTATTGTCTAGTATATCAACACAAATGCAAAAATACAGACCAGCGTAACGCCGATACACTATTTTGAAATTTCGAAACTGAAAAATAAAGCATTTCAGTCTGTTTAAAACAGCAATCTATAGCAAATTCCACGTTTCCATTAGAATCTACATACATTTTCCATACATAATCCTTATCTGACATGGTAATTCCTTACTACTTAATTTTACCTCTCTCTAAAAACTAATCTTAAGAAAAAACATCACTTATTTTCACGGCATTAAAGATAACATCTCACTATAACACTACCAACTTACTCATTGTAAATCTTATATCAAATTCCCTGCCAGCTTGGAACAAGTTTAAACTAACTTAAATGCTACTAGTGTATTTCAAATAATTATTAATAGCAACAGAAAGAAGACAGAAAACTACCTCCACAAAATTCGTATGTTTAGCATCTCGTACAGTTACACAAGCATGCACTTCCTCAATCAGTTTCTGTTTTTCATCATTATCAAAGTTCATGTACCATTTGGCTAAACGAGTTTTGCCTGCACGATTCTGGATAAGAATAAATCGTATCATCACGGCTTTCGTAAGTCAAATACAAAAGAAAAATGATGTGTCACGATTATCTGGTATTCTTGATGTTTCGTATTAATTGCAAATTTTCTGAAAAAAAAAGAAAAAAAAAAAAGAAAAAGATATAGCGATATTAGTGCATAAATATCTTTTTATGCTAATATGTTTCATCTCTTCCAATGCTGTGCCGTCTTTTTACACTCAGGAAATTTTACGTTAATTGAAGTTGCGTGAAATTACGTAGCTCTAAATAGTCAAACCAACATTAATTGGGAAACAGAAAGATACGGGCAATATGTTACTTATATATTCTAACAGTACATATATCGTCCTAATATTTACTTACTTAACCTACTTTACTTAAACTCCACCTACTTAACCGCTACAAAAACTGAAAGTAATCAAAGTAAGCAGAGCGCCTACCGTAGCGCTGAATTCCATATGATAAACATTTCATCTCTTGTAGCGTTGTATTTGCGTGGAGTATCTTTTACTTTTACTTCATTTCTTATCTATCCATTCAATCAATGTAGTTGCTTTTACGAAGCACAGTTTATGTATGTTATATTAGCCTGATATGAATACCGGTTTTCTGGAACACAACCGTATAGCAATAAATGTCATTTATGATAGCTAGATCAACAAATTTTGTTATGATCATTGTTTCATTTGCTGTTGGATTTAATTAATTTCAATCAAATTTGAAGGATAAACGAACGAACTGAAACGCAATTAAGACTTAGGACATTATTACTTCAGTCTGCATCAAATTTTAGTGTAAAAATTAAATAGCACAAACACTTTAAAAACTTTAAAGTTTTATGTCATTTTAAGATATCGATAGAAAATTTTATAGGAAGAGAGTATAACAACAATACAATATCCAGACCAAACTTGCATTTATGCTCTATGCAAATATTTGTCATTTTGTCATTATTCTTTGTAAGAATTGTCAAGCATTCATTGATGACATTCGTCGTCCTCAATTCAGTTTATAAGTAATTTATAAGTATTCAATTGTTTGATTTTACCTACTTTTGTGATTTTGTTATTTTTTATATCTCTTATGTGATTACTGTTTACACAGAAATGCAATACAGAAATATCATCAGGTGTTCCACGATGAGAGATGAATAAATGACGGATATTGGACAACATTTTAAGATCCTTTCTCATACACATTAATATTAATTAAATCCTGAATGCTGAACCTGAAATCTATCCTATGCTTGAATCCTGAAATCGATCCTTAGCCTGAATCCTGAAATCAATCCTTAGCCTGAATCCTGAAATTAATCCTATGCTTAAATCCTAAACATATAACATTTAGTATTTACATCAAATGACAATATTCTATGAAAATCTGTAAACATCTTTTTTGCTTTTTATCCATTCATATTTATCTTTTTTCTAGAGATTTTTTGACAATTTCAACTTTAAAATTGTGAAAAATCATTACCCATTGAGTGCTTTACCCTTTACCCATCAATATTTCAACCCAATCACTACTCTCTCTGTTCCATTAGCTTTTAAGTGGATTTCTATAAAGCAATCATTATTATCCACTTCACCAGTAAATAAGATTTCATTTCATTATGCTTCATAAATTTCTCTACTTTTGCTAACTTATTTTTAATTTCAAAGAAAAATTCTTCATCGTTCTTCTTTTTTTTTTTTTTAAAAAAAAATTCATTTTACTAAAGTTAAAGTCCTTTTTAAGCTAAAACACCAACATAAGCTTGAATTTAAAGTAACGGTATATTTTGTAATCTTAATAATGTTTTGTTGTACTAATCAACAAAAAGATTTGAAGAAGAGAATTCTTTTTCTTTTATTATCCATTAATACTCACTTTCACACTTTATTTACTCTACCAACGATAATAAATATACTATAAAAATATAGGAATTAGGAATTTAATCTGCTGGTGATCAACGGTTATCAATAGATAACCTAATTGAAGGGCTAAATGACAATAAAATAATTTTACTTAAAGTTATTAGTTCACTGTGGTAAATATTACTGCAAGGACGAACAGACCTGCTCTTATCATTACTCACAGTAGAAACCTTAACAGCGAAGTTTTATCAGTAAATGAGTTAACAGCGAAGTTTTATCAGTAAATGAGTTAACAGCGAAGTTTTATCAGTAAATGAGTTAGCAGCGAAGTTTTATCAGTAAATGAGTTAACAGCGAAGTTTTATCAGTAAATGAGTTAGCAGCGAAGTTTTATCAGTAAATGAGTTAGCAGCGAAGTTTTATCAGTAAATGAGTTAACAGCGAAGTTTTATCAGTAAGTAAGTTAACAGCGGAGTTTTATCAGCAAATGAGAAGGCTTTTTTACCATAATGCTGTTGAATACTTCATTTTTCATATATAATTGCTATCATTCTGGAGCTTATTCATCACAGATTAACATTTATATTGAAAAAAGATTGTGTAATCAATGAAAGAATTAATATGCTGCATTATTCTACCGTTTATTTCCTACCGGAACGCGAGGTAACGATCACTTGAAAGGTGCCTCAATACAACCATAATTTTAAACGCTGGAAATAAAATTCATATTGATGATTTGCTGAATAATTTAGCTAATCGCTAATATAAGCGTTTCGATTTGAGAGCAAATATTTCAGAGTGTGAAGCGATTTTATTGATATATTATTCCTTGCTTATTACAAAAGCAAAGTTTGAACGATTATCGTTGATTTAGCAATGAAATAGAAAAGATACTTCTGAGATAAACGATATTATCGTTTAATTTATCAAAACGTAGAGCAATATTATCAAGCATATAGATAAAATCATGCATAATCCATTTTTTTCTATTCAGTTTATTTATCTCTTTTCTTCGAAATATTTTTTTTTTTTTTGAACAATTTAGTTTTATTTATTCTCTTATGTTAAAATCACTACTTTTTCGTTAGGATATAAGTTGTGTTAGTTATACTAATGAAAAAGATTCTCTAAAATCTTTATATTTTGGTTTTTTTTTTCTCTCAGAAAAACGAAAGTACAATGTCAATTTCTCTCTCTTTTTATATATCAAGATTATTAGTTTAAAGACTCAATGACTTATGATGAGTTATTATCAACAAAATCTCTCTCTCTCTCTCTCTCTCTTTCTCCCTCTCTCTCTATAGATCTAATCTTGTAAAATTTTTTTTTTCTTTATAATTTGTCTAAGAGTAGTTTTAATGTTTACTTTTAATGAATGTTTAATAATAATTAGCATATAATGAAGAATTATTTCTAATATAGGAAATCTTTTATTATGATTGTCAGACAATAATTATGAGCCTAATACCGGAGTTACCAGATGGATACCGTATTTTCTTTCCGGTTGCACGGCTCAGCTTTTTTACATACTGCTTAATTGGGATCGAATCTTATAGTTACTTTAATAAATAGCATCAAAAGGAAGCGTAAACGTAAATAATTGAGTATTTCCGTTAACCTTGTTAAATGTTTCTAACTTTTCATATTTCTTTCAAAAATATACTTTCTATAAGAAGCAAAAATGTACTATAATCAGGTATACATGATGGTTAACACCTTTATCAATCTGTGTATGACTTAATTAAATGCTAAAAAATTCAAAAATTTTGATGAGAATAGAATCCTTATTTGAATAGTAGAAAAAAAAAAGAGAAAAACTTGAAGTCTTCGACTAGTTTGTCACTTCCTGAAATGAAAACATATAATTGTCATTCACTTCAGCCTGCTATTTTCAAAGTAGTATTTCAGTTCAGTTTCTTAAATTTCATGCAAATTCAAAGAGTCATAAAATTTTAAGACTTTTAGAACTATCGAAAGGGAATTGTTTTCGGGAAGAAAAGAAAAATGTGCCACTTACTTACATATTACAACTTTATAATTTGAGAAAAAAGACGCAAATTTGTGGGCGAATTTTTGTTACAACAAACAAAAATTTCTAACCACTTTTTACACAAGATATGATGCATAGATATATTAGGAGTGAAGTATCACAACAAAGAGTTATACAGTTATTGTCAAGTAAACATGAATTGTGGATTGATCTGATCCGATTTAAAGAATAGATCACATTATGAGGTTAACATGTATGAGCTTTGCTTCTTTTTATTGCTTCAGCTTATTCATTCCTTCATTTCTGATGTATCACTTATTGATCACTTTTAAATTTATTACCAATTTGTACAGAACATCGCCATTTGTTGGTTGCAGTTATGCAAGATGGTGGCATTATTGCATCAATTCCCTTTCTGAATATTAGTATATCATTGAATGACTGACAATTTCATTAATAATAATTATTGGAATACCTTTTCCGCTTGTTCCAACACTTTCAAATTTTATTGATGCGCTAAGAAACGCTATTTCAATTCTCATTTTCCGTCGTTCCTTTCAGTTTCGTATTTTGCATATGGCAGAGACGAATTTTAATGGATTATCCATGCATCGAATTACCGAAACCGATTTTGATTGTGTTAAAAAATTTCTGTTAACCGATTTCTTATACAATGAACCGCTCTGTAGATCAATCAGTCTAAATGCCGAAGATTCAGATGAACTGTTTAATGGTTAGCTCACTGAACTTTTTCCTGTTTGCTTATCGACCGTTATTTTGTCAAATTACGAACTGTGAAATTTGAATAAAAGGGTTAGGGCCGACTAATCCGTTGTTTTTAACAGATTTGGTAAACAGTGGGATTGCCTCATCGTTATCGTATATGCTACGAAAACCGGATGGAGAGATCGCTGCACTTAGGTTGGCTTCAATATTGAATCGACCAGAAGACGAGCAACACAATGAAGTATATGCTTATTTCTAATTTTTTCAATTATAGATCTATCAGAAAATGAGCTCTATATCACAGGAATTGTGGAATATTAAATTATCCATAAAATAAAACTTTTCCATTCTCATTTTGCAGCATAATAAAAGTGCAACAAGTGGTAGTAATAAAAGGACAGCAATGAAAACAATGAGTCCAAAGGCTCAGATTATCATGGATGTTCTTGAGGAACTGGAAAGCAAGGCTTGTTGATTTGTACCTTTCTCTACATGCAATTCTCATTTTCACTCTTCAAAGCAATCAGTGTGTATTTGCAGATTTGGATTCTCATTGATCCAAAATTAAAACGTTTGCTGCTGTGGTCTGTAATTTCAGTGCATAAAGATTACACTAGACGTGGACTTGCTGAGAAAATGCTTTCTTATAAGTTGGAAGAAGCCAAGCAAATGGGTTGTCAAGGGTGCGTTGCAGAAGCATCCGCATTTAAATCACAATTGGTCATTTTTCAATTTTGACTTATAAGATAAAAATTAACCAACGATATTATTTTCCATAAATGCATTTCTATTTTTTTTTCTAATTTCTATTTCTCTGACCTGAATTTCTAGATTCTTAATCTTTCAAGTTTTAATGAAGCCATTCGTGATTTCTCAAATTCCGTGAAATTAATAATTGAATTTCCAGCTATTCAAAAAGATTGGATACGAGACAATCTATGAAATAAAGCACGCTGACTGGCTTGATGACAAAGGGCGACAGATTTTCAAATGTGATGACAGCACTAATTGTATACAGATTGTTTTCAAACCATTGCAATGAATAATTGTTGTATTATAATTCTCGAAGAAAAAAAAAATGTGATACTATTATCGATCCCGTCAAGATCACTGTATTGCCGATCTCAATCTAATATTATACTGAAATCACCGCTCGCTGAGAGCCTAGAACATACCAAAGCTAATTGACATAAGAAGAGGTACGCGACTTCATTCAGGCTGCTACAGTCAGAATTAATCCCCACGAGAGAGGTTTGAATCCTTTGTGTCATTTAAGTGTCGTCTTCTTTTTTGTTTAAATAGCAAATGAAATCAACGACCTTTAAGTGAAGAATTGAACATTCCGAAAATAAGTCATAAAATCTGTCCCACCAATTCACTTCCCTCTCCTTCTAGCAAATTTCAATTCCAGAAGTTTTCATTAATTTTCATGGCTTATGGGGAAGTTCAATTTTGAGAGTGAGTGAGTGATGGAGTGAGAGTGAGTGTATAAATGAGGGTTAGAGTGGATGAGTGAGTGAGAGAGTGGGTGGATATGGGAGTGTGCAGATGAGAGTCAGAGTGAGTGAGTGGATGAGTGTGTGAGAGGGTGAGGGTGAGAGAGTGAATGGATGTGTCGATCGATAGACGAACGGTGGATATTTTGGAAATTTGTGAAAAATTGTTTGTAAGTTAATGTGGAACTGTGCAATTACAAAAAGTTTCAGATTGAAATTAAATTTTGAATTTTTCAGTTTTTGAAATTAGATTTTGAGTTTTTCAGTTATTGAAACTGTTTGAATTCTTTGAATCACCAAAAATTGTTTTTTGGTTTTAATTTCAAGAATAGTCGAATTTTAAATGCTTCCACTTATAATTTACTAACTTTGAAGAACACAGACGAACCAATCACCGAAGATAACATAGTGTTATCGTTTCCAAAGAGTTCCATTCGAAGTGATTTCATTCTCCGTTCTACTCAACTGCTACTTAGAAATTCATTTGAGCGAAACTATCACACAGATTAGATAAATCTTACATTCAATTTACCTTTCACGACACAACCCAATAACTGAGATATTTATACAACGACAACTGCAATGCACTATGCCGGAATTGCACAAACGCTATTGAAACTGTGGACGGAATTCTGGATACCTAAAGGTAGTGGAATCAAAATTAACCGAAATCGAAAGCGTTCAAAAACTCGAGTCATATATTCTCGAACATTTGCATACATTGGAATAGATATACGTTGAAATAGTCAGTTGTTTCATTAAAATGCAGTTATCTTAATTAATAGCCATTTTCGAAATCAATCGTAAGAACCGGTATTAATCCATCATGCAGTCACTTTTTTCTTTTCTGGATGAACTTCCAGAAAAAGCCATAATCAGCAAACCGAATTTGCGAAAAACACCATTGTTGCGCATTTCACAGCAGCATCACTGAAAACGATCACTTTTTCGTTGTGATCCGGAGAGAACGGAATGGAATCAATGGTAGTGGTAGAAGTTGAAATTGCATTATTTAGGTCAATAGTTGCGGAAGGTACATATCCGACACCGTCAATAGTTGCGGAAGGTACATGTCCGACACCGTCAATAGTTGCGGAAGGTATATGTCCGACACCGTCAATATTAACGGCAAAGATCCCTAGCTAGCTTTGCCGCTGATTCCGCTCTATCATTGACAACACCGCCACCACCACAGCTATCGCAAGTATTTATGCCCTCTGCAGAGGACAACTATTAGTGTATTGTGAGTAATCTGAATAATTTTAATGAAAAAATGTATTTAATGAAAAATGTCACATCTATTCATTATTTTCTAAAATTTATAAAAAAATTTACAAGAAAATTGATAAAATCATACAGCATGAAAAAAAAAATTCAAAAAAAGAATAATTATACGAATGATTTTTTTTTTCTATTATAATAATAAATAAATTATACACATAAGTTATAAATGATTAAATAGAAACCGCTTTTTTTTTTTCTGATTCAAAAATGTTGATCAAAAAAGATTTTAGCTTGAAATTTTAGTTTGAAAAATTTTTTCTAAAATTGAATTAAAATGATTGCAAAATAAATGCAAAAAAAAATGCTTCAAATTTTCGTTATCATTTATAAACTACAAAAAAATAAGAATGATTTTTTTTTAAATAAATTACAAATTATTTTAAAATTGTTAATTTAGAGATTATCTATTAACGATTGCATAAATAAATTGAAATTATTCCAATCAAATCTCTTTCATATCATTAACAAATATTGAAATGAAACAAAGTTTAAGCAATTCAATCATTGCTAATAAAATGAATCATTTTAATATCAAAAAATTATTCAATGTATGGAATGAAAGAGATTTTATAAATTATCAAAATTTATTATTTATAATGTACAGATTATAGATTCTTGACAATAAAATAAAATAAAAAAATTTATGATTAGTAAAATAAGTTTTACTAAGTTTGAAGATTTATTCGTAGCCTTTGCGCTAATTGTAATTCTATTTTTTTTTATTTTTTTTTTCATATGAAGAATGAGCTTATTTTTTTATTTTTTCTTTCTAGCTTGACTGTCATCCATTAATAATAATAATAATAATAATAATAATAATAATAATAATAATAATAATAATAATAATAATAATAATAATAATAATAATAATAATAATAATAATAATAATAATAATAATAATAATAATAATAATAATAATAATAATAATAATAATAATAATAATAATAATAATAATAATAATAATAATAATAATAATAATAATAATAATAATAATAATAATAATAATAATAATAATAATAATAATAATAATAATTAATAATAATAATAATAATAATAATAATAATAATAATAATAACAATAATAATAATAATAGTAATAAAGGCTTATTCTTTACATATGAAAAACAAAAAAAAAAAGAGCAATTGACTTATATCATGGCGTACGTCATAATTATATACAAAATCCCTTGTTAGATGGCGTACGTCATAATTACGCATTCCTTCAGATAACGTACGACATAATTCTATACGAAATCTTCTGTCAGATTACTAACGTGCAAATGAGTCACGTAATGAATAAATAATTAATTAATAAATAATTATAACATTATGAATAAATAACGTAACTATACTTTATGTTATATTTGATGTACATAGAAAGATTGACAGAGCAAATTTAAAATTTCATTATTTAAATGATAAATGTGCTGCAAAATTTTCATATTGATAGGATTTAAATTAAATTTTATTTCGAAAATTTTATTTCATAATTAAAAATGCAAAAAAAAAAAAGAAAAATTAATGATTTAACATAATATTTGAATATATATATTTCAAATTCGTACTTTTTTACTTTACTCTGTTAGTGAAAATTTTTTCTGATAATACTTATTAAATTTAAAATGGATATTAAAAAAGAATTTGTAAAAATATGAAATTTTTTTCAAATATGAAGATTTTATTGTTTAAATTCAAATATATACAGGTCTTTTATTATTTCAATACTCTTTTTTTTTGTCTTAAAATGTGAATTTCAAAAAATTTATCAAATTTTTCATGATTTCATTTAAAAATTTAATAAATTTAATACAAATGAAACAGATAGGAATAAAAATGAATAAAAGTAATCCAAATATTATTTTAATAATTAATATTGATCAATAATATTATCAAAGTTAATTTTCATTGAGTTATACGGATGAAAAGTTTGTAAATGAATTATCGTTTGAAGAAAGGAAAAAAAAAAAAGTTGAAACTTTTAGAAATTTCTATTAATTTTTAAAATAATCACATTGGATTAAACCGACTTACTTTCCGTACTTCATTGAATGACCTATTTTTATCTTTTCCCATTTATTTCTGTCACTAAGGTCAACTTTTTTTGTTTTCTAATAAACTTTTCTTTTTTTTTTTTTTAAACGAAATATTTGCTATGAAATAGTCGAAAAAGAAAAATAATAATAATAATAAATAAATAAATAACTGAATGATTCTAAAATTGTACCAAGCATTTTTTTTTTTCCTATCCATCTGTTAAATTCAAAATTATTACCGATCATTCATTTGGCAGTTAGTTCTTTCATTCCTTTTATTTTGGAATATAAATTGTTCACATAAATTCATAAATAAATCTATTTTTTTTCTGACCAAAATTACATACTTTATTCTAGGAAGTACCACAGTTTGCGTGGTAATTGTTACCATAGCTATTTTTATGGCAATAATAATAATAATAATAATAGTAATAATAATAATAATAATTTTATCGAAATTAATTATCACTGCAGTACTTTTTTCTTTACTTCCCCATTTTAAGCATATTTCAAAAAATATTTTATTACTTCAAAAAATATTATAATTTTCACTAAAAACGGTCACATCAACCATTTCTACAACAAATTTCTAATTACTCATATCAAAATAATAGTGAAACCCAAATTGAATGTGATTATTAATTGTAATATACTTCATCTTTACTTTTACTATTAACCTTATGCTTTCTTGGCTTATTTGATTTTCTTTTACTCTACCATTTAACAAAAAAATATTTTTTTTTTTTTCATTTTCCTTTTTTTTTTTTTGACAAAAAATTTCTTTTCTAATATCATTGTAAGGCTCATTTCAGAGAAGGATTACTTCACTATAACAATGATCATTGTTATGAATTTAAATTTGTTCCTCTTAAGAATGAATTACTTACTAATACGGAGAAAATATCTTATCTTTTCTTGCTTATTCACTTTTTTTTTCTCATTATTTTTCTTTTCCTTCCCTTTCCCTCTCTCTCTCTCTCTCTCTCTCTCTCCATATTTTTTACTCTTCTTATTCTTTTTTTATCAAATTTTGTTACATAGTAAATTTAATTTTGAAAAAAAATTTCACCAGAATATTTTGTATCAAAATGAATGATATATGAGTGTTTCCTCTTCCATTTTTTCCTATTTTATCATTTATAATATTTTAGTATTTCATCTCATAAATTTCAATTTATTTCAAATTTTTCAAACTTATTAGTATTTTTTTTTTTGTTTGTTTTTTTTTAAAAAATAACAAACAATACAAAGTAATTATTACTGTCTTTTATTCTTTTACACATAATAAAATGTAAATTAATCCCTCTTATCTTAATTGATATCTTTGATCTTTGATAAATTTTTGCAATTATTCTTTATGCTATTTCTAATCTTTATAAATTATTAATTTTAATAAGAATAATTAAAAAAAAAAACAAAAAGAAATGAAAAAATCAAAACCAAAAAAAAAAGTAGGCGCATTTTTCTTTTCAAATAAAATCTCTTATCAAACATTTATTCAAATAATTTGCAAATAAATTTCCTGAATTTCATTGACTTTTATTCCATTTTTTTTTTTTTATTTCATTCATTTCTTTCTTTCTTTTTCTTCCTTTCTCTCTCTCTCTCTCTCTCTTATTTCCTCCCTCTCAGTTTTTTCATATTTTTTTTTTTTTAAACACCTAAATGACAACGTTTAGAATTGAAATATGGATTATATATGAAAGACGTCATCGCATCAAATTTAGAAAATTCATTTTTTTTTTTTTTTTTGAAAAAAGTGAGAATGAATAAAAATGGTTTGTACATAGATAAAATCATTTCATTTTCTTTTCCTTTTTTTTTTTTTTCCTTTTTTTTTTTTTTTCTTGGCCTATTAAATATTTTTGAGAAAAAAAAAAAAAAAAAATAAGCCAACAAAATATTTAGAAGTTTATTATTTTTTAAATAAAAATTGTTAAATGTTAAAGAAATATTTATTTGTTACATTTTACATTCATACAAATGAATAATAATGTTTTTTATGCAATAAATTATTTATCATAATTTATTTATTTTATTTTTTATTTAAAATAATACTTTTATATTTATCATTACCTATATACTATTTCATTAATTACTTTTATTTATTTATGAAAAAATAAAATAAAATTAAAAACAAAATTATTTTTTTTTTTTTGATCATTTTATAATACATCAATATTTGAATTTTTTGCTTTTCCTTTCTTTCTTTTTTTTTTTTTTTTTTTTTTTTTAAAATTTTCAAATGCTTTATATTCATTTCTTTGCTGCTTCATGCCAATGTAATAATATAAGGCTATTTTTCTATCCTCCTAGGCTACAATTTATCAACTGTCCCTCCCTCTCCCTCCCCTCATTTAAATGCCTCATTTATTGCCTTTCTCTTTTATTTATCAATAGAGTATGCTTACTTATAACTTTTTTAAAATTATTTCAACATATTTCATCAAATCTTAAATAGAATGTAAATTTAATCAAATTTAAAAGCTATCAATGATTGCTTATTAATTCAAAAAAAAAAAAAAAATTTTTTTTCTTTTCTCTCTGTGCTTTATGTTTTTTTTTTTTTTTTTTTTTAATGTTAAAATTTAATTTAGAAATTAAATATTCTTTGTTCAAAAAAGAAAATTGCAATATTACTTTTATAATCTTAGCCAGGTGTTTTTGTTCTTTTTTTTATTATTAATTAAAATTGATTTTAGTTTCTTTTTTTTTTTGGAAAAAATTTTTGCAAAGAAATTTAATAAATATATTGATTTTACCTATTAGTAATATATCATATTAGTTCCTTAATGTATTTTATTAGTTTCTAATGAATTTTTTTTTATTCAAAATTACAATAAAATGAAGAAAAAGAGCAAAATTTTTTATAGTAAAATAAAATCTAACTTTTAATTTTAATTTTAAAAATCTAACTCTTA